ATGGTTTGTGGGGGTCTTGGTGGCCCTCAGGTGTGTGGGCCGCTGGTACTGCTTCTGGCGGCTCTCGGGGCTCTGTCCCTCTCTGGTCTGGAGCTCAGCGGGCCTGGCGGTCGGTCCAGATGGAGAGGTGTCTTGGCCTCAATCCCTGGGTGGACCTTGGGGAACTGGGGGGGGCTGTTGGGTCAGTGGGGGAGCTGACTCCCTGTGGGAGCATTTGCTCTTACAGTTATATTTCTCCCCATCCCTCACCATGCACTTCCACCCTCTTCATTTCAATTCCACACATTTAGGGTTGTTTGGGCTCGGGTGTGCTGCAACAATTTTACATCTCTGTTGACTAGCCACCTGGGACTCAATTTTATTGTACACCTTAGACATTCACTCATAACATCCTCATGACATTCACATATAAGAACTTGAGGTGGGCACTATGGCTATAGGTGGTGGGATGACCTTACTCTCGCCCCCTGTGCCTGTGCTCACTTACAATGGTTGCATTTAGACACTAGGGTTTGGATAGAGTTGGAGGGGAGGGGGAACTGGCATCATGCCAGCCTTTACTCCTTCTTCTTTCCTTTTTAATGGCACTATACAACAACACACATCAACAGCACATCTAGGGGCGGGGGTGTATGTGTCGGGGTCTTATTCTCTTCTTTTTTTTTTCTCTCACCCCCCTGGTTCCCTAACTGCCATTCCAGGGGTGGTGTCCGGGAGAAGGGCAGGCCGTCGGGTGTTGACCAGGACTATGTGGGGGTTCGGGTCTGGGGGATTGCCGTGGGCGGTGCTGCCGCTGTGCTCTCCCTGGGGTTGTTTGGACCCCCTGAGCTTGGCTCTTGGGTGCCATGGTTGGCCCGCTGGCCGGGGTGGCTGCCGGGGCCTGGCGGGTGGTCGGCTGGGGGCGCGTGTTTGGTAGTTGGCGGTGTGTGGGGGTGGTCGGTGGTGTGACCTCTTCGTGCGGGGGGGTGTCCTGTCGGCTGGGCATGGCCTGGGCCGGGTCTGGGATATTGGCTCCTCTCCGCTCGAGAATGAATGGGTCTATCTCCTGGGTTTGGGCATGAGCTGCCCCATGTAGAGGACGGGTACATGTCTTGGACCTGGGGGATATAGAGTGCGTATCGGGAATAAGAATTAAATTTATCGTTATTGTATGTCTTTGAGTGAGTGAGTGAGTGTGAGAATGAGGCTGGGACTGTGTGATTGTGTCTGTGTATGAATGGGTATTTGTTAGGCCGAGACTCGGACTGCCCCCTCTTTGATACAACTGGGGGTGCTTGGCATCGCGCCCCTATCGCGTGGCCCCCTGGTGGGGTGTGCCCTTGCCTGCCGGCGCGCTTGGGGCCCTTGGTGTCGGGGGCTGGGCACTTGGGCGTGTGTCGGCTTGGCCTGGTGTCTGCCTGGTGGGGCTCGGGTCCTCTGGCCCTGTCGGGCCTTGGCCTGGGTGGTGTGCGTCCTCGGTGCCCGGGCCTCGGTGCCCGGGCCTGGAACTGCATCGGTGCGGCGGGTTCCAGCGGGGGCCTATGAGTTTGTTGCTGTTGGCCCCGGGGGGTCACTGCATGTGGTCGCTGGTGGGGATCTTCCGGTTCTCCCCTGTGGTCCGATCTGGGGGGGTGGGTGAGTGGTTTGTCCTGTGTGGGTGGCCCTGGGGGCTCCGCAGTCGGGGTCCCTGCTGGGGTCTTGGGCTCTGGTCCCCCTTTTTTTTGTCTGCCTCTGGTCTTGGGGGTCGGGTCTCTGCTGCTTCACGGTTACTATTAAATGTTCTATTAGAGAAGCCTTATACACTTATGCATGCTCACAACCACACACAAATAGATGCAGGGATGCTTATGTAGGCTTTATATGTAGATATATAGATATATAGATATGTATGTGAATGTATATTCATGTGTATGTATGTATGTATATGGGCGTAGGTATGGGTATATATATTTATGGAAACTTACTGCAAAGCCATGAATATTTTAAGTTCTTTACACATATGTATTTTGTTGCTGTGTTTTGTCATGCTCTTTGCAGGTGAACAGACAGTGGCCGGGTGTTTTGCCGTGTGCTCTCTTTGTGTATATTTCTTATATTTTGGAGTATTACTTTGTCTTTTCTTTCTTTCTATCCTATTAAAAAAAAAAAAAAAAAAAAGCTCCTCAGTGGCAGGGCCCCAGTGGTGGATGAGATTCGCCCCGAGTTCCTTAAGGCTCTGGATGTTGTGGGGTTGTGTTGGCTTACATGACTCTGCAATATTGCGTGGACTTTGGGGGCAGTTCCCCTAGCTTGTCAGACTGGGGTGGTGGTACCCATATTCAAAAAAGGGGACCATAGAGTGTGTTCCAACTACAGGGGGATCACGCTCTTAAGCCTCCCTGGTAAGGTCTATTCAGGGGATCTGGAGAGGAGGGTCTGTCGGATAGTCAAACCTCAGATTCAGGAGGAGCAGTATGGTTTTCGTCCTGGTCTTGGAAAATTGGACCAGCTCTACACCCTCAGCAGGGTCCTGAAGGGTGCGTGGGAGTTTGCCCAACCAGTCTACATGTGCTTTGTGGACTTGACGAAGGCATTCGATCGCATCCCTTGGGGAGCCCTTTAGGGGGTACTCAAAGAGTATGGGGTAGCAGGCCCTTTGATACAGGCTGTTAGGTCCCTGTACGACCAGTGTCAGAGATTGGTCCGCATTGCTGGCAGTAAATCTGCTCATTCCCAGTGAGAGTTGGACTCCGCCAAGGTTGTCCTTTGTCACCGATTCTGTTCATAACTTTTACGGACAGAATTTCTAGACGCAGCCAAGGCGTTAAGGGGATCCATTTTGGTGGCCTTAGGATCACTTCTCTGTTTTTTTGCATATGATGTGGTCCTATTGGCTTCATCACGCCGTGATCTACAGCTTTCACTGGAGCGGTTTGCAGCCGAGTGTGACACAGCCAGGATGAGGTTCAGGTCCTACAAATCCCAGGCCATGGTTTTGAGCCGGAAAAGGGTAGAGTGCCCTCTCCGGCTCTGGGAGAAGGTCCTGCCCCAAGTGGAGGAGTTCAAGTATCTCAAGGTCTTGTTCACGAATGAGGGAAAAATGGAGCGTGAGATCAATAGGCGGATAGGTGCAGCATCGTCAGTGAAGCAAGCGCTGTACTGGTCTGTCGTGGTGAAGAGAGAGCTGAGTCAAAAGGCAAAGCTCTCAATTGGCATGGGCAGCTTGCATGTCTGGAAAGGCACCATTAATGCAGAGAACTATGTTCAGGTTCTAGAACAACATATGCTCCCATCTAGACGTCATCTCTTTCAGGGAAGACCCTGCATTTTTCAACACGATAATGCCAGACCACATTCTGCAGCAATCACAACATCATGGCTCCATAGGAGAAGGATCTGGGTACTGAAATGGCCAGCCTGCAGTCCAGATCTTTCACCTATAGAGAACATTTGGCGCATCATAAAGAGGAAGGTGTGACAAAGAAGGCCCAAGTTGATTGAACAGTTAGAGGCCTGTATTAGACATGAATGGGAGAGCATTCCTATTTCTAAACTTGAGAAACTGGTCTCCTCTGTCCCCAGACGTCTGTTGAGTGTTGTAAGAAGAAGGGGGGATGCCACACAGGGTAAAAATGGACTTGTCCCAACTTTTTTGGGATTTGTTGATGCCATGAAATTTGGAAACAACAGATTTTTCCCTTAAAATGACACATTCTCTCAGTTTAAACTTTTGATCTGTGATTTGTGTTCTATTCTGAATAAAATATTAGATGTTGGCACCTCCATATCATTGCATTCAGTTTTTATTCACAATTTGTTTAGTGTAACAACTTTTTTGGAATCCGGTTTGTATTTATATATACAAAAATACACTGCTACTTATAATAATAATAATAATAATAATGTCATCACAATGTCAGCACTGTATGTTTCCATACAATGGCGAAATTAGTCTCTGCATTTAACCCATCCATCACCTTATACAACTATAAGTGCTATGTGTTGTCATCATTGTATATTACCATACAATGGCGAAATTAGTTATCTGCATTTTACCCATCACACCTGAGATACACCCAGGTTGAGCAGTGGGCAGTTATGTAGGTGCCCAGGAAGCAATTGGGGATTGGGTGTCTTGCTCAGACACCACAACATGTAGGAATGACAGAGAATCAAACCTGGGGCTTTCGGGTCCCGATTCGGCTGCCCTGTCTCTACCCCATCTCGGCCCCCAAACTATTATTCCTACTATTCCAAGTTGAAGGTTTTTCACTTGCAGGGCTTCAGTACAGATCCCCCGCAATAAACGAGCGACTACTGTACTCAAACCACTAAAAATCCACTCCAGGTTTTCCTGGTTACCTACAACAACCCCACACCATGCAGTGTTTCCCCGAGGTCACCTGCCTTGGCTGGGCACTCACGGGGGGAGGAGAGGGAGACACCTCTGTTTTGTGCAATAGCTTTGTGCTGGTAGTTGTTGATGGGGTGGGGGGTTAGGATGCGTGGGAGAAACGGAGCGTGCTCTATTCACACAAGGAGAGCTGTTGGTCAGACTTCTTGTTGCTCTCTAAAATAATTACTGACTCAAGTGTTTGATATGTAGGTAATCGTAAATGTTTAACAACCTGTTAAAATACATCAGAATGCAGGAAATGCATCTATTCAATAATTTCTAGGGGAGGACCCCCCTCCACCCCACCCAGTGTCCTCCCCACATTACAACTGGTCAATGGTCTCAGCACTTATCTTTGGTTGAGAAAACGGCATTAAACCAGAGGAGTCATGTAAAAGTGTGGCTGTGTAATATTAGCTAATGTAACGTTCCTTCACACCAGTATGTATTTTAAAGAGTTTCTGTATTAGGCTGATTGAAACCTTTTGTGTCTGAGCTATTTAGTTTATTTCCTGCATCTTCTGTGTTTGTGTTCATCACAAGGTCAGAAACTGAGAGTGTAAAATGTGTGGGGCGTGGTCGGTGTTCAAAACACGTCAAATCACACTCAGGTCCTGAAATCTCTGTCCTCTCCTCTGCCCCCCAGGTAAGATCAAGTACTCAGAACAAGTGTATGACTCCTGCATGGAGGCATTCGACTGCCTGCCGCTGGCAGCGCTGATGAACCAGCAGTTCCTGTGTGTCCATGGGGGGCTTTCACCAGAAATCCACACGCTGGATGACATCAAGAAGGTACGACAAGAAACACAAAAACATACGCTTTAGGATTAACAACGCAGACTTAGTACAAGTAAACTGTGGCAGTCTAAACCACCACTGTACAATAATGGGTATCATTGCAAACTAGTAAATAATAGATAATAATGCAGTTATTAATTAATAAAATTTTTCAATTCAGTTGATTTATATAGCGCCAAATCACAACAAAGTTGTCTTAGGACACTTTACAGGAACATTCACATACAAAGAAAAGCCAATTAGTAAAGTTCTCTATCTAAGGATGGATAGATTAAGCTGTAAAACATGTAATAAACCATTAATAAACAGTAATAGTACATTTCAAATCAAATACTGACTTGTTTCCTGCTGAATAGTGAGCGATCATGAATCAGGACTCTCCATTCTCACAGATTTCGTATGCTCTTTGTAATTTACATTTTAAATCTGTGTTCTTTAGCTTTAACAGGTCTCTTTTGTAAATGAGTCCTCGAGGCTCGATGAGACTGACCGGTATAAATGAATGAATTGAAAATTTGAACAAATATCGAGCATTTGTCAGTAAGTGACCTGCAAAGTTACTTGGTTAAAAAGAAGCTGAGCAACAATTAAGAATATATTACATTTACATTTACATGTGTGAATCAGGTAGAACAATTTATCGTGCCACTTAATGAGCGTGCTTCGGTGTACAGTGTTTTGTAACTGTTTTATGAACACTTATTAATGTTTTGTAAAATGTTTACAACTGATACCTTATGGAGTCACAGCATTCAAGATGGCTGCCACAGCAAAGTCAGTTTTACAACTTTGAGCTGAAATTAAAGAGTTTGTAGCAGAGACAGGTCCCCAACTTACACTTACTTTTACATCTTAGTACTAACAGATTACAATACTGTTTGTGGGTATTTGTTTGAGGGCGGCTGTGGCTCAGTGGTTAGAGCAGTCGTCCTCCAATGCAGGAGTTGGGAGTTCGAATCCACCAGCAGTCACATGCCGAAGTGTCCCCGGGCAAGACACTTAACCTCCAATGTCATAGCCTCTGATGTGTGTCCCACCAGTGTATGAATGTGATCTAAAGCTCTGATTAGTCTCTTTAGAATGATTTGTTCAATTATCTTTGTAGAGATCTAGTATAGAGCTGTATGAATGGGTAAATGAGGCACAGATTGTAAAGAGCTTTGAGTATCTCTATAAGATAGAAAGGCGCTGTATAAGTACAGTCCATTTACCATTTGTCCATCCATGCATCCATTATTTTTACTTGTTTCTTCCTTGTCGGGTCATGGGGGTCACTGGTACCCATATCCAGCAGTCACTGTGCAAGAGGCCTGGGACACGGTGGACATGTCTCCAGTCCATCACAGGGACATATGGAGACAAACGAGACAAATTCACTCTCTCACTCACACCTAGAGACAATTTAAATCAATCAGTTTTACATGCATGTTTTGATCTGTGGGAGGAAACAGGAGTACCTGGAGAAAACCCACACAGCACAGAGAGAACATGCAAACTCCCCCCAGAAAGACCCTCGGCCGGGATTCGATCCAGTGACCTTCTCACTGAAAGGCAACAGCTCTGCCAGCTGAACCACCGTGCTACACTGTTTGTCTCTTACGTCTGCTAAGCTAAAGTTTGGTGTGAGAAGCTGTAAAACTTCACCAACACAGTTCAAATGATTTTCGTTGTGTGAAATCTTGTGATTGACCTTGTTACAGTTTATTTTTATTTATTAACCTTTATTTAACCAGGCAAATCCCATTGTTACAGTTACTATGCATGTTCAAAGTCAGTGCTTTGTGGTCTAAATAGATCCATGCATACTTCTGGTTCATTGAAATATATTTAGTCTAAACTGAGTTCACAGTAAGTGTTTCAGCTGCTCTGCAGTCATTCGATTCAGTTTATTTATAAAGCGCCAAGTCCCAACAGAAGTCATCTCAGGACACTGAACAGAAACATTCATATACATTCAGACACCTGGCAACATTGCACCTTGAGCTCACAATATAAAATACTAATAAAGTTAATTTTTACATATGTCTGTATGGAACAGTCAATAAGAAGCAGGTGTAAAAGACAGCTATGAAAGTATTAGGTGCACTTCACCTGATTTTTTTTTGCATGTGCATTAGTTACTGTAAAGAGTTCAGCTAACTGGTGAAGTCAACTAGGTATTAAATGGCCGCCACAACTTATTGACCTTGGCCATCACAAAAACGTCTAAACTGTCAGCCCGACAGGTACTGAAGTAAAAGCTGAGCAGAGCTTCATTCACAGGACACATTCTGAATGAACGTTCTTCACCTGATCAATCCACAGCGCCGCTCCTCCACAAGACCATCCCTGTTGGAAACTCTGGCCTGAAACAAGGCTGGTAATATGCATTTCTTCAATGAATTTTATTTCATCTCTTTGAAGGATTGTTAACTTTTTAAATTATTTACAATTTATCATATGCTTTATGAGCTTCTGCATATGTCCAACTTATTCACAGGGATTTACAGTTTAAGCCAAAGCTTCTCAATCAGAGGAAAAGGGCAGTAGTCTCAATACATTGTCTAACAAGTTAAGAAAATTAACCATTTAATTAAGTCATTTACATTTATTAAATTTAAATGTATTTATAGCAGCAAAACTCAAAATAAATGAAACGGGCTGGTGGCATTACTTGAAACATGACTAATGAAAGGATGGGCCCTGCACTGCCTGGTCGCACGCTGCTGATGGCTCCTGAAGACGATGGAGGACAGTATCAAGACGTTTTGACAACCTTTGTCCAGCTCCTGAACCTCTGAATAGGTTTGTTGAGCCTATCAGGCACCTCCTGAACTTTGTCAGAACAGAACCAGAGTAAGAACGATACTGCAGACTCATAAAACACCAGCTCTTTTACTTTGTGTGTTTATGGGCCAGAGCCGCTGCAGCAGGAACAAATGACTCCGGGGCTCTTGAAGACAGCTGCCTGGATTTATTCCAGCCCACTCTGCCATCCAAGGGGGCGTCCATTTATCTGGACTCATGTCTCGTCTCATACCTCTTGAAGGCCGCCATAGACGCTTGTTTGTTGCTGAAGTTGAGCAACTCCACAAAGCTTTGCACCAACTTTAATGAATCCACTTCATTTTAGCTTCAGGGCTTTTACCTGAACTTCAACGTGTACTGGATTAAAAAAGGAGAATAGAAGAGTTCAGATTATTAGGATTGGCTCAAGCAAAATGTATTTTTCAGTAAAAGTCCTAGCATTCTTTAAAGTAATGCATGTTGTCTGCAACCTTGAAAATGGTCTTAAAATGAAATGAATGAATGTCTACGTAAATATTTGCTTGTTTATTATTAGGGTTTTTTTTTTTTCTCAGGCAAGAAAAAAAAAGTCTGATAGGAATTTTTTCGGCTCCAACTCCTACATGTGTCCAGTTAACCACTGGTTTTGTCCAAACAGGTCTCACTTGTGAATGAGTCTTCGAGGCTCAATGTGATTTATCTGTTTAAATAAAGGTTGAATGAATGAATGAATGAAAAAAATAAAGTTAAAACCATTTTGGTCACACCTTGAAAATGATGCTATCCATGATTTCATGTCAAAAGATGTGTTAGCTTTCTGAAGAGGATCAGTCTCAGTCACCAAATTAGAGCTCAGTACTAGTCAAATTAACTGAGTCATAGTATTTTTTGTGTTTACATTGGTCACTTAGCTGTGGTGGCCATTCTGAATTGGGTTTGACCCCAAATGTGAACCAGCTGTACCTGATGGAAGATATATGTATGTATTTAATGAGCTATTAAAGAGATAATTAAATTATCCTTACAGTACCATCCGCCAGACAGACAAAGATGAGTCTAATAGTTTACGGCAAACATAAAACAACAGAAACTGTACGAGTACTTGGCACTTGGTGATGACTCTCAGCTTCTACGACACTAAATTTTAGCTCAATAACTGTCAAATGGCCTGATTTCACGCCATTTTTATGTTTTCCAAGTTTGAAGCTGTGGCAGCCATCTTGAATGTGGTTGACTTCAAAGGTTATTCAATAGTAACTACAGTATACTTGCAGTAATTAGTTTCTATTCTTTATTTCTGATTTTAGTATTTGTATTTGAGTCTGTATTTATATCAGTACTTGTCCAGTGCTTCGTGAGATTACAAACAGTACAGACAAACGCACACGCAGGCAAAAACCTGGTCTGCTTTCGTCTTCAGTGTTAAAGATGTCTCACACTGACACCAAAAACACAGCAGCTCCAAACTGCAAAACTTTTAGAACTGATTTCCAACAATTTGTTCAACAAATCAACTCATAAGGAGCATGGAAGCACACCGGGGAGAGAAGCCTCACATGGGTGTACACAGCACCACGCAACACAAAGACACACACGTCCTCCTCTAATGGCAGTGTTTCCATGGTGAATCTGCTGGTGTGACATCTTCTCCCTCCTGTGTGGTGAGGGTTGCCATGGAGATGCTCTGCTCCGACAGTGTGTGTTTATTTTTTGTGCGTGCCCTCTTTCTTGTCCGATGTCTACGATAAGAGTTGACCTGTCTTCATTTTCGTGTGTATCTCTGAGGTTTCCGTCCGTTTGTCTTCTGTCCCAGTTGGACCGGTTTAAAGAGCCCCCGGCGTTCGGGCCCATGTGCGACCTGTTGTGGTCCGACCCCCTGGAGGACTTTGGCAATGAGAAGACCCAGGAGTACTTTGGGCACAACACAGTCAGAGGATGCTCCTATTTCTACAGGTACAGGAAGACAAAACAACTCTTCAAAACATTGCTGCAGCAGACGGAAACAAAACTAATGACTTTTATTGATTGTGATCTGTGTTTGGGCAGAAATATGAACTAACCTGATCTTGAAACAGGAGGACACACAATATCCACACAGAAGAAATATCATCAAAATTTACCAGCTGGAACTGGGATTGATGCATTTCACTGAGCTTAGTCAGCGTATCTCAGTAGCCCCAGTGCCTTGTGGGTAAATATTGAAGGTACTCATCTGCAAATCAGTAATCTAATAAGTTTCGTGACGACGTCGGGGTGCTGGAGATGTGAGAACAGAAAGAGTCCACAGTTACATCTCATCCGGCAACATCCACTAATATTTGCTGGGATTTGTAGCAGAGATGGAAAAGCTTGGTTATCAACACCCCCCCCCCCCCCCCACACACACACACACACACAGTTTGGTTTCAGCATAAAAAGATATCCGACAATCCCTGGGGAGACTGCACGGTTCTGTTGCTATGACGACTGGCTACTCCTGCCAGTGATATTAAGATACTGCAAGAGAACGAGGGGAGAGCAACGCAGCAGAGTGGGATGGAGGTGGTGGGGGAGATGAAGGATTGATAAGAAAATAATAATCAAGATGGAGGGATCCAGAAACAAGCAGCTGCCGTCTCAGAGACAGATGTTCTCGTCGCTGTGTTCCTTGTATGTTGAAGGTGGTGTTATGACATGTTCTGTGTTGCAAACACAGAGATTTTCTATGTTTAGGAGACCCAGCATCAGTGTGCGCTCACCTCACTGGCGCCCCCTGCTGGTCCCAGCCTGACCATCAGAGAACGAGGGGCCTCCTCATCGCCCTCTGTCTCAGGGTTTACAGTTTGGTTCTCACAGGAAGTCTTTGGGATGTTTCTTCCTCAGTGTTTTATCTGCTACTCTCATGTTTTGTGGCCTTTTCTCTCTGCCCCCAGCTATCCAGCAGTGTGTGAGTTCTTACAGACCAACAACCTGCTGTCAATCATCAGAGCGCACGAGGCACAGGATGCAGGGTGAGTTGTCACGGTCTGGTCCTCATCTCAGCGCAACGGGAGCAGCATTTAGCTCTGCTCACCTCAACATCTCACGTTTTCTCCCCCACAAAGAAAAATTTAAACACCAAACAGACAGTTCAGATATTTTCTATCTGGTTCTGGGGAAAGATTAAGAGCAAATATTATCTTACCTGTTGCAGATGGCTCTTGGAACGAGCTCATTTAGATCAAGAGAGTTTAATTCTGACTGGACTGACACACTAACAGCTTGTTTAAGTCGGACCATTCATTCAACCTTTATTTATACAGGTTAATCCCACTGAGCCTCGGGGACTCATTTACAAGAGAGGTCAAGCTCCAAACAGCTCCAAACTAAAACACTTCACAACTGTTCACGTGAATAGACTTCTACAACCCTTTGCATGATCATCAGTCTTATAATACATGTTTCTTCTTGCCAAAATACTGTGGTATTCTTGTGATGAGGCCCGCAGGCTGCACCAGACGTGTGAACTAGCTGCTCTTATTAGCACTTGTAGATAACCAAACATTTCTTTTAGCCACATAATGTGAAGTAACTGCAGGGGAAAACTGATTAAATAAGGTAGTGCATAAACTTGTTTATACCCTCCAGGTGAAGAAAAACAAACATATTGATCACTGAAATATGTTGAAACTGAAAATAATAATAATAATAATAATAATAATAATAATAATAAGAAAAACATAATAAACTAATTAACATCAGTAGTTTTTTATGTATTTTAATTTTAGAATTATTTAAAAAATGCAAAGTAACAAAACTGGCCTTAACAAAAAGGATGGTTCCCTTAACTGAATATTTTACCATCGTTTGAGTCAACCTGCAGTCGAGTGATTTAAGTCTCTCTGCACCGGTCCACAGGTGTTCTGGTCCACTCCTCATGAGCAAACTGCTCCGCTTGTCTCAGGTTTGAAGAGTTCCTTCTCCAGATGTTTCATCTCTTTCTACAGATGTTCAACAGGACTTAGATCAGAGCTCAGGTCACTTCAGAACAGTCCAGTGTTTGGTTCTGAGACATTCATGTGTGTTTTGGGTCATTATCCTGTTGGAGGACCCATGACCTGCGACTGAGAACAAGCTTTCTGAACCTGGACATCACGTTTAGCTCCACAGTGCCTTGACAGTCTTGAGACTTTATTGTACCCTGCTCAGATTTGAGACGCCCCAAAGCAGCTCCAGACCAGAACCGAGCCTCCTCCACTGTTCAGTGCTCTTTTCTTGCTGTGCTTCATATTTCTGTCTGTGAACTTGGAGCTCATGGGACTCCAGTTTTCATCCATCATAAGAACATTCACACAGATGTTTTTGTGACTTGGACTTATGCATTTTAGGTAATTCTATCCTGATTTTTATTTTTATGTCCTCCTCGGTCGTCTTCCATTTAGTCCACTTTGACTCAAACATTGACCAATGGTGCAGCCTGACACTGATGAACCTTGACCTCGGAGTTCACCTCTAATCTCTGGAAGTTGTTCTGGTTACCATTCATGTTGTCCATCTCTTCAATTTGACATTTCCTCTTGCGGACACATCCATAAGGTTGGCTCCTGTGACTCTTAAACTTCTGAATAGTCTGTTCAGCTGTAGTCACAGGAACGTCAAGCTGCTCGGAGATGGTTTAAATCATTTACCTTTAACATGCTTGTAAATTATTGTCTTTCTAAGCGCCTGAGACAAATCTGTCCTTAGTTTTCTGTGGTCCGTGTTCAGTGTGGACACACCATGATGCCAAACAGCACAGTGACTACTTTTCAAACTTTACCTATGCAGACTGACTGATGACAAGACGGAACCTGCTGATGTTCATTACAGGACACCATCCTTTCTGTCAAGGACAGTTTTATGATTTTTCTGAGCTCTGTGGAACAAAAATAAATAAAAAAATCAAACAATATTTGATTTTAATTGATTGATCTGTTGTAAATTAATGTTTTTTTATATATTTTTGTCAGCTTCAAGTTACTTTAATGACCTTTGTGAGTTTTTCTTTCTCTAACCAGCAGTTAAGAACAAATTTATCTGTGCCTGTGTGAAATAAATGTAACTTTTTATGCTTTAGTTTTTACAAAGTCAGCAATCAAGTTGTCGGCTCATCAGTCAGAAAACAAATGTGAAAATAGGCCATAATTTTAAAGAGCTAGTTGAAAATAAAACAGGTCGCAAACTCCAAGAATTCAGTGACACTGAAAAGAAAAAAGTTCCTTTTTTTTTTCAGTTCTGAGACAGGAACCATCTTCAGCAGTCAGTGTGTGAGATCTTGGCTTATAATTATATTCATATGTATTTATTTCACTAAAGCTGCTGTAGATTTATCACAGCACTTAGACTGAGAGTTTGTTTCTTCCTGTTGGGTGGATCCATCCCCGAGCGTTTTATCCATCATCCAGACAGCTTGTCGTGGTTCAGCGGTCAGATGCACTCGCTGGTATTAAAACAGAATTATGTTCGTGGGACGTGCTTCTGAGTTGCTGAGATTTCACTCAGTCACATAAAACTGACAGCAACTTTTTAAATGAATAATCGTAACAAGTAACTTAAAGAAAAACAAGGGTCAGAGCCAGAGCTGTCTCTGACCCTGAGCTGGAGGCTGACTACAAAACAAAAACTCTTTTCCACAAACATATTTTTTATAATCATTTTGTTTTTTAAATCATAAGATTAGTGAAGTATTGTATTTATGTTAGTGTGACAAATCTGTGAAATAAAGGAGATCTGATGTTTTTCGTTACGAGAACCGATCAACAGAGGACACCATCTCCTCTGTGGTCCACACTGCTCTCAACCACCTGGAGCAGAAGGACTCCTACGTCCGTATGCTCTTTGTGGACTTCACATCTCCTTCAATACCATGATCCCCCAAACCCTGATGGACAAACTATCCACACTAGGACTAAGCCCCTCCATTTGCAACTGGGTACTAGACTTTTTAACAAACAGACCACAGTTAGTGAGGATCCACAACCTCTCCTCCTCCACCATAACCCTCAGCACTGGCTCTCCTCAGGGATGTGTGTTGAGCCCCCTCCTGTTTACTCTGCTCACGTATGACTGTGCAGCTACCCATCCAGGCTGTCACATTGTAAAGTTTGCAGATGATACAGCGGTGGTGGGATGCATCACAAACAATGATGAGTCCAGCTACAGGCAAGAGGTGGAACACCTGGAGAGCTGGTGCAGAGAGAATAACCTTCACATCAATGTGAAGAAGATGATGGAGATGATTGTGGACTTCAGAAGGAACAAAAACATCTACACCCTGTTGGATTTAATATTTTATACATTTTTATAATTCCTATCAAGCACTCAAATGTCATGTCACATAAAGGGTGTGCGTGTCTTTCTTCCAAGGTTGAACTATGTTTATAGAAAATGTTTGCTAATTCTAACTAGTTGACCTTTAAATATAATCTCATAGTAGCTAAGGATAATTTTACAAGTTCACATTTGATAAATTACAAGCAATCAAATCAGGCCAGAGAGCAGACTGATTAACATAAATAAAGCTAGAACACAGCTCTTTAATTTAGACAATATAGTTTGACTAAGTAAAATCAAATTAAAAGTATAACCATGATCCAAATAAAAACACGAACATAAGTTAGATAATATAATTATTCCTAGAAATAAACAACTATTTCAAATCAGTGTTATCACTAAGGTATAATCACGTTAAACAAACAGTGTTAACAGTTTAAACGCAGACACAGAAACTAAGATGAATCTGCCTTAAAAACAATCACCCGGCCTCCAACAGATATTGAATTAACATACCCATGAGGTAGATAATTAATAATTACGTATAAACAATTTGACACGAATCATTTTTGTATCCCTAAAGTAGAATAGCAAGTTAAACGTTAAACAAAAGCCGATTTCGGTGTACCAAAACTTATCTGAAATATAGACGTTAACATCCTTGAGGGGGCGGGCTAAGTCATAACCATAGCGACAGAAGCTGAACCAATCAGGAAGCTAGCCTTCTCAAACGGGGATAAAAGGCTGGAAATGACACACGCCCACTGAGCATTTTCCGGGAGGCGCACACGGCGGCGGTTCGTTCTTAATGCTCCATTTATATGCATATATCTTATTAATGTAATTGTTTGTCTCTGAATATCTGTAACCCATGTTGTGTCAAATAAATCTTTTATATGAAGGGCGACGCCTCAGCCGTTTTGAACACGACGTGGTATTCTAACCACAACAACCCCCCTGAACATAAGAGGATCTGCAGTGGAAGTGGTCTCCAGCTACAAGTACTTGGGTGTACACATGAACGACAACCTCAGCTGGAGCAACAACACTACCAGCCTGATCAAGAAAGCTCATCAGAGACTCTTCTTCCTCAGGCGGCTGAGACGAGCTGGTCTGGAAGCTCAGTCCTCACCTCCTTCTACAGGTGTGCAGTGGAGAGCATCCTGTGCTCCAGCATCAATGTGTGGCATGGAGGCTGCACAGCTGCAGAAAGAAAAGCTTTGCAGAGAGTGGTGAAGGCTGCACAGAAGATGTTGGAGTCAGTCTCCCCACCATCACAGACATCTACACCTCCAGATGCAGGAAGAGGGCCACCTGCATCATGAAGGACCACACTCACCCAGCACACACACTTTTTGCCCCGCTCCCCTCAGGAAGGAGGTTAAGGAGCATTAAGTGTAGAACCACTAGACTGAGGAACAGCTTCTACCCTGAGGCTGTTAGACTCATGAATCTCTAACCAGAAAAATCACTGTGAAAAAAAATCCCTGTAATGCCACTTGATTGTTGATATGTGCTGCTGTTTATCCATGCTGCTGATCTCATGCTGCTGATTATTTCATGCTGCTGTGTTCATTCATACTCACACAGACTCATGTTCGTGCTGCTGTTCGGCGTTTTGTTTTTGTGCTATGAGTGCTTAGTGTATTTTTCAAAATATCCTGCTGCATGCTCAATAATCCAGGTAGAAAAATCCAAAAAAGTTCAATCTGGTCCTCTGGACATTCAAAAAAACAAAAACAAAACAAAGCAAAAAAACTAGAAACGTTTCGTCTCTCATCCGAGAGACTTCCTCAGTCTGAGGTGCTGTATGAAGGCCAAGCTGCCGGCCAAGCTGATGGTGCAGTTCTACACGGCCATCATCGAGTCCATCCTCAGCTCCTCATCACGGTGTGGTACGCCGGGGCCACTGCCAGGGACAGACTCAGACTGCAGCGCGTTGTGCGCTCAGCTGAGAAGGTGATCGGCTGCAGCCTTCCATCCCTCCACGACCTGTACGTCTCCAGGACTGTGAGGCGAGCAGGTCGGATCACAGCTGACCCTGCTCACCCTGCACACGGACTGTTTGAACCACTCCCCTCAGGCAGGAGGCTTCGGTCCATTCGGACCAGAACCTCCCGCCATAAGAACAGTTTCTTCCCCTCTGCTGTTGGACTCCTGAACACTCATAATGCTACCTCATAATTTCTGCTTTGGTCACATTACATCTGTATTATAACTGAATACTCCACCTGTACTGTTCTCTAAGCTTTTTTATTGTTTTCTATTGTATGGGTGTACATATGGTTATGTTATGGTTTTAATTTTACTTTATTTGTGGGTGTACACAGGTCTTATGTCTTATGTAATGTTCTCA